AGATGTTATAGATTCAAAAACAAAATCATAAGGTTTTGTTTAGATACTGTTATCTAAATTAACAATAAAGAAGAATTATTGTTAACTGATTTAATTAAGATATGATAAAATGGTTCAGAAAAGCGACTATAGGGTTCATTAATTCGTTTAGAAGTTTTAAACTCCAACTATTTGATTAGTCGGTGACGGATTCAGTTAAATGAGGGACACTAAGCAGTAAAAAGGCAAAAAGTAAGAAGTTTTTATTGAATCAAAACTAATACAACAATGTTTCAATTAAAAACTACAAAACACTGTAAAAACGTTTTTCTTTGTATATTTGCTTTTCTTTAGTGAAAATCTGAACCCCAGAAAAACCTTTCTTTTAAGTACTTCCTTGTGACTCCAAGAATTTTAAAATTTTCTACCAGTGTTGAACTGTGTTTAGATGTTGAACAAAATACACAGAAATTTAGTTTATGCCCTATTTTAATCACAAGTTAGGCAACGTTAGCATTAGAATTCAACCAAAGAAACTGGGAAACAAATAAAATAACAATATTATAACCATTTTTATATGGATGCATATTTGTCTTGATTTATTTCTTGCAAATTCATCAATTACAACTAGCAAAGTAAAAACTTTCAGGTATAGGCAATATGTCGCCATCTACTGTGTATTTTCTTATAATAAAGTATACAAGGCTTTACTAATGAGGTACTTATATCACCTTGCCTAACCAAATCGACAATGCAGAATACACATGTACGTGATAAACACACAAATCATTTTAATAAAATATTTATATTAAGTTCTTGATCAGAAATTTTTGGAACGGATTGCGATTTCGATCTCATTAGATTCCATCCATCAGAGCGTCATAACCAGTCACTATAAGTCACTGACTAAACCAATACCTAAAGCGCCTAATGATTGCTTTAAACTAAACCTTCTTAATAAAAAAACTTTGTTAAAAAATACTTTAAAACAATGGTACTTTCTGGGGCTCTGCTTGACCTGCTTACCCTATAATCCGCCACTGACTCTTGAATATATACGTGCTTAACTCTTGTATTTTGCTATTCAGTTTTATCATAATGAATCAGTAAAAATTCACTTTATTTAATCCTTACTGTTATCAGTAATAACAATTTTTAGCTGTAACAGCTTTTCTGCTAGCAAAAGGAAAACTTTCGAAGCGGATGTCTTAGAGAATTTGATAATTTATATGAAGATATATATCATAATTTTTATGTAGTAGTTATCCCTATTTACCCAAAAATGAAAATTTGTTAATGAGTGATAATAGCAAACAAAAGTTTATTGATTATTCAGCTTATACGTAAAGTATCTTATACATATTGTATTTGGACCAAACCAAGTGGCTCAATGTCTAAATGTTTAATGTTAAAAACGAACAAATGTATAATAATGTAGGTAGGTACCTATTATTACCCTTTATACAACTATACATACATGTATTATAAACGTAGTAATAGCAATATAACGACTATTAAATGTAATTACAGCTTCAAAAATTTTCTAATACCATCTATCAGATCTATTGTAAAACTTCGCTTTCGTCTTCAGAATATGTTATTAGCTTTTTGGCCTTGCGTATAGCAGTTATTAAAAATTCATAAAATCAATAGGAAAATGTACCTACGCAAAGTGTGGGACAATAAAAAAAAAAAACAGGGAAGAACGTTATATATTGAATTCAATGTGAATTTAACGACCGAAATTTTAAAATTGGTAAAAAAGAAGTCGATATTACGTGTCGTTTCCTTCGATTAAGCAACACCCCATTTTCATCAAAATACATGTCATTTTACGACACCCTATTGCGTTTTTAAATCATAAAAATAAGAACTGGCTTGAATTACTGTAAAAAGCGAATTTTGCTCATCCGAATTTAAAACTTGGTTAAAAAGAACTTTTAATTATTACCTTATCACTTTCTTCGATTTCGCAAAAACACACTTTCGTCAACACACATGTCATCTTACGACACCCTGCCATGCTTTTATACCTAACTGATTAACATCGGCCAGAACCAATGTAAAGACCAAAATTTTGCGCGTCCTGATTTGAAAAGGAACCGAAATTATAATTCATTTTCTTCGATTTCGCAAAAACACACTTTCGTCAACACACATGTCATCTTACGACACCCTGCCATGCTTTTATACCTAACTGATTAACATCGGCCAGAACCAATGTAAAGACCAAAATTTTGCGCGTCCTGATTTGAAAAGGAACCGAAATTATAATTNATACAAAAACTAAATTGTGTTCAGCTGTAATAAAGCCCAATAAATTTAAGTTTGTCTTCTTAACTATATTATCATTGTATTTTTGTAATGTTTTTGATGTCAGTATGCAATTAACAATAAATTACTTAAAAATATTCATTTTCTTCGATTTCGCAAAAACACACGTTCATCAAAAAACATATCATCTTACGACACCTTGCCGCGCTTTTATACCTAACTAATGAAAATTGAATGGAACCAAAGTAATGAGAAAAATTTTACGCGTCCTGATTTGAAAATTGGTTAAAAAAGAAGTGAAATTATAAGTCATTTCCTTCGATTTCGCAAAAACTCACTTTCGTTAACACAGATGTCATTTTACAACACCCTGCCATTCTTTTATACCTAACTAATTTACAGCGGCTGGAACCAACGTAAAGTGCAAAACTTTTCGCGTCCTGATTTGAAAATTGGTTGAAAAGGAACCGAAATTATAAGTAATTTCCTTGAATTCGCAAAAACACACTTTTATCAACACACTTGTCATTTTACGACACCCTGACGCGCTTTTATACCTAACTAATTTACATTGGTTGGAACCAACGTAAAATGCAAAATTTTTCGTGTCCAGATTTGAAAATTGGTTAAAGAGGAGTCGAAATTATAAATCATTTTCTTCAATTTCCGCAAAACACATGTCATCTTACGACACCCTGACGCGCTTTTATACCTAACTAATTTACATTGGTTGGAACCAACGTAAAATGCAAAATTTTTCGTGTCCAGATTTGAAAATTGGTTAAAGAGGAGTCGAAATTATAAATCATTTTCTTCGTCTTCACAAAAACACACTTTCGTCAAAACACGTGTCATCTTAGGACGCCGTGCCGCGCGTTTATATCATACAAAAGATTAAAATTGACTTGAACCTAAAAAACTAGATGGTCAAGAATACGAAAATAAATACGTCACGACTTCGTTTAAAATAGCTTATAATCTTAATTAAGAGATTTCAAAAACCAATTAGTTAAATTACTCATGGTTACAAGGTAACAGTTTAGCTTTAAAATTGTACTCAAGAAAAGAGAAGAATGACGTAAAATTGGTCGATGTCACTGATCAATCAAATAAAAGGAAAAATAAAAGTATACATACCTTCTATTAATTTTTTACCATGAAAATTAGACCTTAAAATCAAAACTAAACAACTTTCTGCTGTTTTATTTGTCTTTTAATTGATTTTCTAAAAATAATGTTCCGGAAAGCTCAATATAATTCGAGCAATTAATAAATGAAGATTGGACTGAAATCCAGTTTTAAGGTTCATTATGAAGATTTAAAAATAATAATTTTAATTTGATAATTAAATTAAGTCTTTGAACATTTTAATTTAAAAAAACAAACACCAATTATGTATAATCAATATCACAGGGTATACGTATGTAAGGCATCACATTACCACATACTTTTCATTACTACAGAGCAACGAACGAACATCAATTAACATTTTTCAAAAACACTTTTTCATTTTATAAGTAGGTTCTTCTCATAAATCACTTTAAAGTTTCGTATCTTATCACTAAAATCTAAATGAATAATTACAAAATTCAAATCTTCGGAACTGCGAGTACGATTTCTTACTTATTCCGTATCGTTTGTGCACAAAATTGCAAATTTAATTATCCAGCATAAAATGATCCCTAAACATATTTATAGAAGGTTAATATCGAAAACGTCATTTATACAGAAACTGGAACACCAAAAAAAATTATGTATGTATTTATATAATAAGTAAAATGGTTTAAGCGATGAGCCATTGTATATTATATAAAACTAAATCACTAAGAGATTATTACTACCATTATTTTAATTTTTTTTCCAATTACCTTGAATATGATGTAATTAAATTCAGTGGCGGATGGTAGTAAGATACACAAGACAGGGAAGTTTACCCCTTCTTATAACCTTTGATTATATAATATATCTATATGTAATTCATCGAAAGTAAAGTAAGTTCTTACCCATATCCAGTTGCGATATTACTAAATATACTTAACACCAGCACAAGTCATCGTAAAATCTGAAAATATATACGGTACCAGCACCAGCTACAAAATGGACGTACAGTAAAAATATAACAAACGTAAATTAAGAAGAGAAAAAGTAGTACCCACCGGAATAACATTTAAATCAGCCCAGAATTTATCTCAAATGATTCAAATCACTGATTCATTCTCAGCCGTTGAAAAAAGCAAAACGATCGTATTCCCATATTGTGCTGGCACGCAGTATATTTAGTAGGTAATGGTGTTGGTACCACGTATATTTCCGGATTTTACAACGATAGGGCAGAGAAGTAGGTATGTAATCAAAGCGCCCTATGAAGAATTTGTTTATAAATCATAAATTATATAAAGTGGATTACGTTATTGTTGTGTCTTGTTTTCTTGAAGCCGCCACTGATATAAAAATTTTCGTATTGTACCGATAATCTATAAAGTATATGTAAAATAGATAATAAAAGCAATATGCAATTCTTCTTTTTATCCTCAATAAAATCAATCATTAATATGCTTACCTACAAGTAAGTACATAATAAATAAAATGTTATAATATATAGCAATATAATTTAAAAATTCATGTTAAATAATGGAATAAACTATATGTATACAAAAACTAAATTGTGTTCAGCTGTAATAAAGCCCAATAAATTTAAGTTTGTCTTCTTAACTATATTATCATTGTATTTTTGTAATGTTTTTGATGTCAGTATGCAATTAACAATAAATTACTTAAAAATCTATAGAGTGTTGCTTGTTCCCACTAAAACTGATCTATTTAAAAAGTTTGTTTGACAATTGAAATAGTCCAATCAATTAATTTAATAATTAATTGTCAAGTTTGTCCCTATGATCAATTATTTTTTACGTTTTATTTTATGTTCATTTGAAAAGAAAAATGACCAATAAAGGAAATGTTTTTTTCGAGATCATTTACACTGTGCATTATCTTACTGTTACTGTTAATTGTCGGTAATATTTCAAGTAAGGATTTGTATTATTTTTTAATTTCAAGTATAACCAATTTCGATTGATTTTTAAGACGCACTACTTTGTTACTACTGCAGCGATAATATTCGGAAGGGATCTTGCATGAAACCGTTGGAATTAATGGATTGTAATCATAACTGCGCAAGTTACAGCATAAACGACAAAGCTTTTCGTGGATGTGGGTCAAAAAAATTTTGTAAACGTATGAAGAAAAAATTTAAAAAGAAGATTGGACATTGCAAAATCTGCTCAAAGGATTTGTGCAATTCTGGTTCCATATCTGTTCGACGGTTAAACTTTGATGGACTTAATAAATGCAACACTTGTTGCTGATTAAATTCAATTTTATCTCAGTATATTTATTTACTTATTTGTTTCACATAGTTTTCCAATAAATAGTATAAGTAAAAGATATCTACATTATTTTACATAAATTGGCCGGACGTCGCAGATGTGTTACCTATTACATATCAAATTTAAAACTTGTCTAAAATATTTTGGACAATGTGTTGGTCTATCTTTAATTTCCACATTTTAAAAGCAACCCCTTCAGTGTTTTATTTTGTTTTTATTGATAGACATACAACGTTATCTATTTGACAAAAATAGACGAAAGTAATGAACAGAAAAGGAAAGTAAGCTAGTGTCAAGTGACTTTAACGTAAAACCTTTTCAAAAATTTTCACAGAAGAAGAAATGTATTACTATTTCAATTGCGATGCTTCAATGGAGTATAGTACGAATAACTACAGTAGACTGTTTCAAGATTTGATGAAATTGGAGAGAGATTACACATTTAACCAAAATCAAATCAAATTGAAGGATGAAGAAATTGAACGGTCAGTGGGTAACAGTCAAAAACTGATTTTGATATTCATTATCATTATCATATGTATTACAATTTTAAATGGATTTATTTTGTTAAGCTTCCATTATCTTTCATCAGACTTAACTTGTCAAATGGTAAACTGCAAGAAGCTATCAAAAGAAAAATTGCAGAAATACAAACCCTCCACTGCAAAATTTTCAAATTAGAGTCAGAACTTACAGAAACTAAGAAAGATGTGGAAAAGCAAAAAGTAATCAATCAAAAATCGATTAATTGTTTCAATCAAGATCTCCAAGAAGCAAACAAGCGCAATGAAAGTTTGATCAACCAACACCTAAGAGACTTGAAGAAAAAGGAATTTGAAATGAAACAACATTTCGATTCAATATTGCAAGAGAAGGAATATGAATTTAAAGAAAAGTTAATGGCTGCCGAAGAAAAGTTGAGATTCGAAAAACAGACGGTAAAATAAACAAAATTCGTTATTAATAATAAAATTTTGGCATAGTTGAATTAAAATCTCACTGTTTAATAAGTATTTAATATATTGCGTCTGATCGTAATTCGCCCTAACAGGCGGCTCCATCAGGATCTCTTCCATGCCAAAGCCCAACATTACCTTTAGGAATGATTTGACTCCCTAATCAATACTAAAAAAGTGTATCATTTTTTACCATAATGATATAATAATAGATAAGAAAAAAGAATGTTACACCTTAGATCGTGAAAATGATTTTTAGGTAACGAATTTGACTGACCGTTTACAAAAACAAATTGACGACTACCTTCAACTACAAGACAAATTGAGGCAGATAGAGGAAAAATATTTATGTGAAAAGACTGCTTTTGAACAGGAACTTAAGTCCTTAGAAACTATCCGAAGCAATTTAACATCGGATTTGATAACAGTGAAAGACACTTGCCTGAAACTAGAGCAAAATATGTCCAATTCCTCATCGGAAATAGAAAAATATCAAGCAGATCTAAAACATTTAAACGAAGAAGTCAAAGCACTTACAGATAGAACAGATAATTTAACTATCGAAAATAAAGTATTAAAAGAAAAGTTATCGGAGGCTAGTAAAATATACGGAAATGCTTTAACAGAAGCTCAGGAATGGAAGAATAAATACTCCGAAATTCAATTAAAAATGACTGGAGCAGAAAGTGGAGTTTGCTGTGAAATAAAACACCAAAAATTTGACGAATTAGAAAAGCAAAACGCCATTCTACAAGACGTCGTAAAAACCATGAGAAAAGAGAGGGTTCAAATGGAACTTCAAACACAAAATGATATAAGTGGTGCTGAAAGTCGTATAGAGAGATTAGAAACTTTGGTAAACTTGTTGAAAAAGGAATCGTGTTATTGTGATAATTGTTCTGAGGTGAGTGGGTATAAATAAAAATGTCGTCAGACTTCAAGTACCATTAAGTTGAATTATTTCAAGTGTTTATCTACAAGTGTTATAAAATAATCTAAATTAATTCCATATCAGTATAAGTTCATTTCAACAATAAAGGGAATTGAAGCAAAAAGGATGTTAAGCAAGTGTTTTCATTATAAGGTAATTTTAACATAATTTTTAATGCTTCCAGATAATTTGTATGTCATATCTTTTATTATTATGTTATAAATAAATGTTTTATTCCCTCTTGTCTTTTAATAAATTTATTTTGTGGTAAATTGAACAACCTTACTGTTCCACCACTGATAAAAAGCTTAATGCAATTCATGTAACTTCTAATAGATGACGCCACCTGTTTCCTTTTGGGGAAAATAATTCAAACGGTGATAATTTATTTCACATGTAATTACTTTCCAATTAAATCTATTTGTTAACGAGTGCTTTTAATTAACGTATTTTGTTATAGAATCTAAGTGCGTATGTATTTAGTCTTCTTCGATAGAATACAAACTTCAGATGAGAATATTTAACTTATTTATTTCTGTTACTACAAAAGAAATACAAAGTTTGGTAGGTTGTAAAATAATGTAATAAACGTAATTACTTAAAAGTCCTACATTAAAATGGAATAATAATAAATACATACAATACATAATAAACCGTTTGTTACAATTCCTTCTTATTTTTATACAATATTCTTTCAGTTTGGTCATAACTTAAGTATAGTTAAATCTTACACAAGTTAAATCATGCTGAATTAAAAAAATATACACGATTATTTTACGAATTCAAACTAATAATTTCATAGTAGCAAAAATTTTTAAATATACTTTACGTTTTAAACAATAAACTTATAAATAAAGTTGTAAAAAATGTTCAAATAGTTCAAAGTTATAATTTGTTTTACCTAACTAAATAATAACTGTGACCTCGTTTCTATTCTTTTGCTTTCGAGTTTTTGAGCAGAATTTTAGTTACATTTTAAAATGGTTGACTTATTTCCATATAAAAAAGAATAGATACATTAAGGTTCTACATTAAGGCCTTTACTGAAATAAAAAAGGGCAGTAACATGTACTCTATTTAGTAACAATTCTGGCCAGCAACAATTAATGTTGTGTTTGATGGTAATTTTGCAAACTATGTAGATTCTGCACTGATCGTTGTCCCCAATAAGCCTCTAAATTAAAAGGTTCGAAGTTTTTTAAAGATGTTGGTTCTTGTTCGTGATAGTAAACTGCAGTTTGGCCTGTGTTTCTGTCCACTTCTTGTGAAACTCTATGCCACGATTCGTAAATAAATTTAATCAAGTCATCATGCTGTGTACTTGTATTTCGTGCTGGTGGAGGCATACGATTCATGCTGTAAGATCTGTGACTGTTGCCATTCATTTGTGATGAATTAAGTCGGGGACCACTGAAATTTAACTACATGTAAGAGGGTAAATGGCCTTCGATTTACGAGTGCTTATTGAAGATGTTTTATCTACAATGTTTTTTAAGGAAGGTACTTACTTCATTTTATAAATATCACAAAATTGATAATTGTAGAATATCAGTAAAAAATTTAATAAACTGCTAAATGAAAAGTAATAAACCTAGCTATTAACTACACATTTAATCTAAAATAAAAATAATAGCAATGTTGTAGAACAGGTTATGCACAAATTATACATAGCTGTCATGAAAATTTGCTTATTCTAAATAAACATGGCAGTGGCGTACTACGTCTCATAATTGATGATAATCTTTGCCATTCATGAAGTACCATTGTAATCTTTTTTGAGAACTATTTCAATTGTGATGGTTTATGTTCAAAATATAGAAGATCCTTTTTTGAGGGGATTATTATAATAGTAGCTTAAAAAGTTTAAATGCATCAAAGGACAAAAAACACATAAAGAAGAAAAAGTAACATTCATCAGTTATATTTATTTTTTGAATATTTAAAAATTACTTACAGATCATTTTACATAAATAAAAATATGTACAATACATTTAGTTTACGATATGATATACTATGGTAAATGTCTTAAAACTATTACAGCCTTTAGTTTAAATCACAAAAAATAGAATTTTAAGTGTTTATCGAAGTCCTTGCATGTCTTTTTGAATATCTTTTGCTAATAAATTGACATCGTTTAAATTTGGTAACTCGAGTTCATCCTTCAAAGGTTTTTGGGTAACGAATTTTTGCAATTCAATTTTTTCTTCATTATTTTCTTTCAATGCATCTTCAACCAATTTGTTGTCATTTGTTAACTTTTTTGCAATAAGTTGTTCATTATTTAATTTTTCGTTCTCGTTCATTTTGTTTGAAATTAAATTTTGTTCATTTTGATCCTGTCCATCAATCTCTTTTTTATGGTGTAGTTCATTTTCGTCTCTTTGACAAACTTTTTTTGACGCGTTATTTTCATTTTCTTCTATGTCCCTTTTTTCTCTTTCTACTTTTTCTTCCTGTTTTTGTTCGTTTTGATTTTGATTTGCAAAAATTTCATTATTCACGGCGTTGTTTGTATTATTCTTGATAACGTTTGCTCCTTTTAAAACATCTAAGATATTTGTTCCTGTTTTATTACTTTCTAATGCGTTAGGTTCTTTCAGGCTAGTTTTGTTCAATAGTGGGACAAATCCTTTACTAGCCCCTGTATTGTAAATTTGTGAGTTAACCAATGGCATAGGAATTATTTTATTTTTTGGTATTATTTGTTCTTGGTTTTGAATCGTTTCGACTAATTTCAATGGAGGATTATCATTTAAATCTTTTTCTATATTTTTTTTGGAATCATCACGTTTTTGTTCTTCTACAATTTGTTTATTTTCAACAACTTCTTGTTGAAGTACTTGTAGTGCTGATTCTCTGACCTCATCATTTCCACCATTGTTTTGTTCCTTTTCATTCACCTTTTTCCTGTCTTCTACTTGATTCTTTTCCTTTTTTTGATTAAGACTTTCAATTGCTTTTTTTGCTATATTTTCAATTTGTTTAACTGCCTTTTTCAGTTCTTCTTGATTGGCAGCAACTATTTCGTTTTGTTTGGTGTCATCTTTTTTATTTTGCTGTTTTATTTGTCCAAGAAGCTCTTTCTGAGTTTCCAGCAGCTGCTTTTCAAACTCTTGTTGTTTCTTGAGCGTTTTCAAAAGTTCAAGTTTGCTCTTTTCTTCACTCAGTCTTTCTTTATCTTGATCCATCAACTCCTTTTCTTCTTTTCGAATTGCATCAATATCCACTTCATCTCTTTTCTCTGAATTTTTATTTTCTTTCTTTTGCTCTTCATTATCTGCTTGACTATTGTGCTGTGTATCTTTCAAAACTTGTTTTGGGGGAGGTTCTGTATTCTTCTTTACATCCACATTTGCTTCCTTCTTTAGTTTAGTATCAGATGTATCAAGCCCGTTTGATTTATTCTGCTGACTCAAAACCATATTTACAGATTCCTTTTGTAGGACTTGATGAGGTTCATTTTTAGGAACATCTTCCGGTTCAACTGGCTGAGGAGGCTCTTGACGAATTTCTTGTAAAGGGGGAGGAGAATGAGGTGCTTTATCTGTTGTATCTTGAACAATTTTCGGTTTTTCTTCATTATTGTTAGTATCTAGAGATTTCTTTTCAGGAGTCTTAACTATAAACTTTGCATTAGAGTTGAACAGAAGTGAAAATTATTACAATTACATACCAGAAGGAATATCTATAGCATTATCACGAAGCACAGTGTCTTCTTTAACAATCTTTAAAATTGCAGGTTCTTTTATTTCAACATGGGGAGCGCCAATTACAATTGTGGTTTGCTCTATTGCATAAAGATTAGCATAAGTTCCCAAAACCATTACCATAATTCCAATAAACAACATGACCTTAAAGTAACATTATTATTAAATAAAAAGTTATCTAAAACACACATATTATTTATACTTGAGCAGCAATACGTTCATTCGTATTTTTCATAGAAATGCATATGAAACATGTAGCAGGGAATACCACACAAATCATTATTCCAATGGTTGATCCAACTAGACCCAGAACTAATTCAATATTTGGAATGAGCACTCCCGTTAGGAGGGATATAAAAACGATAATGAATGTCAAACATTTAAATTTTCCTTCTGGAATGTAATTTTTAGTAATTTCATGAGATGAATGTGCCTAAAAATTATATTATTTTTATTAGTGGTAACTAAGCCCTCTTTTTAATTTATTATAGAACATAAAGTTTCAAAAAACATAAAAGCAGTTTTCATTACCTGTTTGTAAAGTAAGGAATATAAACTAGCTCGACAAGGGAAAATAACAAGAGGAAAACTGAATGCCAACGAAAGAACAAATCCAATGCTCATTACATCAGTAATAATGGAAGGGGTAAAACTCATTAGAATATTTCCAGTAAATGGTTGATTACAGAAAGCAATATATCCAAAAATGCCAACAAAGATATAGACCCAAGTACAAATATTAACAGCTGCTCTTATTAGTTCGTTCATCTTATCCAAAGATGCATTTGGAATAGCTTGATATATCTCAAAAATTTGTCTGCAAAATGTTTTAACATAATTTAAAGTAAATATCTATATAAGCAAAGAGACAGTCTTACGTCTGACAAAATAATGCCATTGTAAATATTGGCATACATTGTAATATACCAGCAGGTCTCCAGAAGTTAACTCTGGAAGTCCAGTCACCAGAAAAAACATGTGGACCTGCATCTGTGATTACCTAAAAAGAAAGGCCATCATAATTTATTTACCTTTCTAAGGACATACCCTCCAAACAAACCTTTACAACAAGACAAAAATAGAACCCAACTGATGCAGTACTGACACTTGTTAAACTATCAACATTTCTTAATAAACCAAGTGGTAGGACACAAAAGAGAGCTAATGCCATTAATAAACTGGTACGTATGGTGTCACTTGAATGTGTGCCAGAAACTTTTGTAATAATTGCTGGTCCCAAATCCCCCATCACAACAAAAAAAGCAATACATGTTCCAAGTAAAAACCCAATAATTCCAATTTCAATAATAAACTTTCCTAATGATCCAAAAGCATGAAATGCTAAAATATAAAAGACATAAGCCTTGATGAATATTAATAAACAGCTGTTCTTACCTAAGTTTTCAAACGTTTTTCGACGAGCTATAATAGCAGATTTTAAAAGTAAATGGCAAGATAATCGTGAAACTGCGTTACTTGCCACTAAAATACAAATAGACAGTAATATTCCGCACTAAAATAAAAGTTGGGATAAGTTACAATTGATCATGCTATTTCATACTTACTTGTTTAAAACAATAAGGCATTGCTAAAAGTCCCACGCCAATAATACTGTTAGCTATGGTCATAATATGAGAAACTTTTTGGTTCATTTTGTTTTCTATTCAAAAAATGTGCAAATTTTACCTATAAATCAAAAAAATATGCTTCGTATGGCAGAAATTTGAATCCATTTCTGTGATATTAACCTCATATTTTTGATACAAAACAAAACAAAAAGTAGTGACTGATGAGCAGTTTGAATTGTGCATTTTCTTGTTATCCTTCAAATATAGAAAAAAGCAGATATTTATTTTAAAAACAATGATCTGAATTGGACGATCCTTATTGACATTAAATTTTAAGATAAAAAATGTAATTGATCAGCATGTTTTCTAAAGTATCAACCGTATGTGCAAGTTGTGCCACTTTCCTTATAAAGCAGTTGTGTTTATCATCTGTAAAATAACCTCAACAGTTAGGTGTAAATTAGAAAAATTACTCTATTTAAAAAATAGTTAATTTATTGTTAAATTTGTTGAAACAAATATGTCGGTAAATATTGATATTTCACAATGGACTCCTGAATATTTTAATGATAACGAAAGTGAGTGTTTAAATCATTTATTGCAAGATGCAGTATGGAATACTGTAAGTTGATTGTTTGTGTTAATTATTAATTAATTAAGAGTCTCATTAATTATAGATTCCTCTAGTAAACATTCAAAATTCACACTATTTTCAAGATATGAGACTTGTTCGTTTTCGTGGAATGATTCAGGATATGCATGATCCTGAGTTTTATTTTGAAAAAATTGAAATTAGTAAAGTAGGTACTGATGAAACTTGTATGAGAAATGGAAAATATGTAGATGTGATTCAATCTCAGGTAATAATTTTCTGAAAAAACTGAATAAACAATATTTTTGTTGCATATCAGATGTGGGTATAGTTTATCTAAATAACAAACAAATTGTTTAGCATTTGCATGACGTAAGATTTTACTAGTTTTCAGTTTAGTTTTAACTCTTCTCAAAATGATTATACTTTTAATTTCACAAAATTAGTTCTTTATTTCCCGCCTCATATGGTTAATGAATAATTACATAAAGGGTGGCGCTTCAATACAATACCTAAACATATTGTGAAAATATTTATTTAATAGATGGCGCAGTCATGCAATTCTTTTAGCTACTTTATTTCTTATTTACTCTATAGAGGGCGTAGTGTGATATATTTGCTATTTTTAATTTAAAGACTTACAGGGTGATTTTTTAAAAGTGTACTCAAATGCTTTTCTACATTGTACTATACAATAAATATTCTCATCTCACGATTAATATTGAATACTTTATTTTTATTACTTATTTACGTGTACAAGTAAACGTCTTCATAAATGCTTTAACATGATATAATATGTTGTCATTATGCGGTAACAATTTTTACTTTGACTAATAGCCGTGGGAAATAAAATTTTGAGTTTAAAATGCTATTTGTTGAGTTCAAAAAATGTACGTACTTTTCAAGGAAAATGAAAGTATACTAACGGATAGTTCTAAGAATGTAACAAAGGAAAGAAGTACTTATGTTGTTATATCCATCCCAGGACTTAACCCTTGGGCAGAAGCAGTATCCTTCTCATTAATTAATATTATCTTTTAATAAAAACATTCCATTTTTATCACTATAAAAATGAGGATGTTAAAGGACAGGATACGATTCCGTTCTTCGGTACTTCCCCGATGAAATACATGGCATGCTATATATATGCTTTATGATTAATATTATGGATTGCGAAATAAAATAAACACTCAACAATAGTGTCACAATAACACTATAAAGATATTCTGTACAGTAGGGTCACACCTTTGATTTGACCTAAAACCTGGCGCTTTTTTGCAGGGGGTCATAAATCAACTTCTGTGTACTGTACAGTTATACATATATATCGGCGGGAGGGAGTTTTTGAGTCATATTAAAAGAGTGAACCTATTGTTTAGAATTAATTTGTAGTGTGATTATAATAATTGGCAAACTTCGTTTGTGTTGTCTTTTCGTACCGAAACCTTATCATCCATTTGAAAAAGGTACTTGGCATCACTGCGAGTGTTTGTAATTTTGTGACCCTCCCCCTCGTAGTTATATTAACTGTTGTAATTATAAAATAATTATTATTTCTGTATATAAGTTAGTGCATTTTTACATATATATCCTTAACAAAATTAGCTTGAAAATCAAAATAGTACAAAGGAAATTTCAAAAGGTGATTTTGCAAGCAAATCTGTAAAACGTACATTAGAAGTCGAAGAAATGATGGAAGTAGATCCGTCAACATCGACCAAACGAGTCGAAGACAAGGCTAAAAAGCTTTGCTCTCCAGAAAGTAATAAGCCTAAAAATGATTCGAATGAAATACCTCAAGATATTCTTTTAAACTATCCAATTCCGAAACGTGCAGGGAAAACGTGTTTATTGAAAATCTACAATGATTCCGAAACATTGAAACTGAACGAGATGATAGAATTTGTAGGTTTTCTTTCAACACATCCGATGCTTAGTGAATTTGACAAAAACGAATTCGAGAACGACATGGAAGTACAGGTACATCACCCCCCCGCTTCCTTGATTCCAAGGATACATTGCGTCAGTTGGAAAAAATTGCAACACAGCAATCCTATGTTACACGATAGTGTCATTGGGTTTGACGACAAAAACATGTATGAGGCCAAAAAAGAACTTTTATTGGTTCTTACGTCATTGCTTTTAGGAGATGAACTGGCAGCCGAGTATTTAATATGTCATTTAATATCGAAAATGTAAGTAATAATGGGGGTTTTAAACAAACATACACACACACACACACACACAATTTTTTTGCGCAAATTACTAAAGATAGAAACAGTAACTTATTCCGAACCAATAAACGATAGAAGACGAAATGGTCCTCTGCGCGATGAGCGATTGCGCATTACGTCATCAGTTGTCATACGAAATGCATATAAAACCTCATTGTCTACCTGTAAATTCGATGCGCACTGCCTTACTGCGCAGCGATCTACTTAACACAATTTGGTAACGCTCTTCCGGCTCGCACCGTGCGTTAAATGTCCCTATTTTTATCTCTAGTCTTCTTGCGCAGTCTTTCAACGCGCAGCGACTCTTGCGGCTTCTGTCCTTCTCTATGCATGACCCTATTCAGTCCCATTTTTGGTTCGACCATGTTTCCTTATTTCATGGTGAGCCATGGAAAACAAATGTTTACGAATTTATTGCAAAGATGTGTCAATTAGTTTCGTTTCTCTTTTGGTGTTACTGTAAATTGTAATATCATATTCTCACAAATAGAAAATTGTTGTGCCGTTCTGGTTCAGTGCAAACATAGTAGCATTAAATATAACAAAAATATGATTAAATATTCTAGTGACACATCAAATAATTCAAAAAACTTCGCTGAATTCAATCGTGGAAATATCCAGTATGGTGTCCATGAAAAAGAAGTTAGTGTGTATTAAATCTGTACCATTGAACATCTGCCATTAATTTTTTATGTTGTGGTTTATGTGCTGTTTGCAAAGTTTGCGACACCTTCTCTGAAGTTGATTGCGCAGTACTTATATCAAACTAACAATGGTGCCAACATTCTTTTTTGATGAACTTAATGTCTGCTAAATACTTTTACTTTATTTTAATGTTAAAAAATTGAAAATTTGGTTTAGGTTAATCTTCTCTGACTTGAAACTTAATCTTACAGTTGATTTCGATTCGATTTAGCATGTCCCTTTAAACTGGGACTTATTAGAACGCCTTAGGTTTTGTTGGAAGTGTTGCAATATTTGAAACAACTTCAAGGAGGGTATCTTAAACTACTTTACCTGAAATACAAATAATTAACATTTTTTTATATATGCAACAAATTAAGTCTCCGACTTTCTTTTAGTTATATGCGAGCCGATTTGTTAGCTCTAGGAAAATTTTCGCTTAATATTTCAAACGTTCCTATTAAGAGACGACCTGAATACGTTAAAGAACTCTACAGTATTTTAGAATTATTTCTTCCAAAAAGTCACTATTTAGAAATGTCAATTAGCAACATTAATGAAGCAAAATTAATTCCAAAGTAAGTTACAATTTTCCAGGCTTTCGTTTTATAATCGTAGTAATTAAATGTTTGTCAACAATGTTAAAGGAAAAACTACGACTACAACAGATTAAACAGTGGCTTGTTGCAATTAAGTCCCAATACTCATTTAGTTGTCGACGAAACGCTACTTACAACAGGACAATTGAATTCAACAGGTGTTCATAACGTTAGAGCTCTTTCTAATGTTATCCGAAATCAGAAAACTGAATACGATTTTGTTTATTATCAAATGGAATACGAATGCGACATACCAATACTAATTTTATCGGAAGAAAAAAGTCTTCTGCCAGTAAGTTTCATCTTGTCTTTTTTCCTTTAAAATTTGGCCTGTATATCAATTCATGGGAAATTGGAAAAATCGATTCCTTCAATTGATTGGGCCTATATAAAATATTTGCCATTCAGGTGCTGCCATTGTGAAGATTTAATTGGCAGTGTATGTATCGCAGACATTATTATAATATTATATTTTCAATTTTATTGATATGGAATTCGGGTACATCGACTAAAAAAATTATTATTATTCGAAACAGATTAACGTAAAACTGTATTAATTCAAAAACTTGTGTCATGTGGATGATTAAAATTTGACTCAAGTACCTACAAAATATTTTCATGCAGTCCGTTCACTTAGAGAAAGGTACACCATATCAGATCGACGTGAGCGGATTGCTCCGATGGGCGTAACTGTTAGAGATTACGTCGTCAGAGGTAACGGTTGGGTTTTGATACGCCTACGATCGATATTTTGTGTGCATCGTTCACGCTGTACCTTTCTCTAAGGGAATGGACAATACCTATATTAATTTTTGTTCTGAGATAGGTACGTATTTAATTGGTAATAATTTTAGAGCGATTTTCAAATACCTTTGCAACCTGCCGATGATCAAATCGAAATATTTCCTGAAACAGTCGATGCAATTAAAAAATATTTAAAGCCAGAAATTCTTAACAAAATACGAATATATTTAACGAACGCTAGACATAATAGTGACAAGTACGAACTCCCTCAAGGCGCCCAAGAGGTAAATGAATACGTGTCTTAAAAAAAAATGTTTCTTACTACTATAATTGTATGATAATGATGATTATTGTTATTATTATCATTAAAGGTGATAGAGGAAGAATTTATTCAGATGAGAAAAGCAAAAAAGGCATCCGCTGATGACCTTCACAATCTGCTGGTATTGGCCAGATTGAAATGTTTATCAGACGGAAAAACCCGGTTTGATGACGAATGTTGGAAGGAAGTTTGTCAGATGGAAAACATTCGGAAAGAAAGAATTGAAGCTTTAAAAAACACAAATTAATATTTTAAAATAGCAATGTTACCTACGATCTATATTTTTAAGTTTTCTTGCTTTTGTGTTTGATTTCATTTACATGTTTATGTAATAATAGTTTTTTTTAATTTTGNACTGTGCCCAAATCGACATGGACACTTGTGGTATGAAGATCTCGCATTATAATTCATTTAACATGACCTAATAAAATATTTATCTTATTGTATTTGTAACACAACAGTAAATTTCTCTTTAGTTGTTTGTGCACCAGCGTCCTTTTGAACTTAGACTGTAACTTTGTCGAATATGTTATTATAAAATTATTTCTTAATTGCGTGAAAATTCCAAAACAGGCAGGAAGAGATTCCGTACCAGGTACAGCGATGGTAAAACAGCACAGGGGTGTATTTTATGTGCACGGCATACTTGCGTCATTTCACACTTTTGCGGTTACAGGGTGTTTCAGAAATTTTTGTTATATAAGACGGAAACATTGTCATTGTAAAGTATAAATAGTAAAAACCGAAAGTTACTGCTGAAGTCCATTTGAATTTACAATTGCTACATTCCTATTAAGAATTTTCCATGAGATTATTAATTTATCTATTGTTATATGATTACCACACTGCAATCTTTATCCGAACGTGCTTACTATAACTGTTATTATTAATTTTAATTGTTATTATTACTTTTGTTAACGTGTGTGCATTCAATATGTGCTACTTTCCTATCTCTCATCCTTAAAATGAGAAAAGAAAGTTTGACAACAAAACAATGTTATTTTAACATTTACACGTTTTATCAATCGTCTTTGAGGCACTGTTTGTCAAGGCCTTTAATGGCGCGATCTATATCGTCCTGAATTCCCTTAAAGTAATGCTGTCTTTTTCTCTCTTCCCTCAACCTTTCGAGACTTTTTCTAACTGCTGTACTGTAACGTTGTGATAATGACTCCTCACTAGCTTTTACTCTTGGGATATGTCCCGTGTATCCAGAAATAGGAGGACATTCCGGAGATAATTCTTTTTCTGGATAAACATAATTAAAAAGTAAATACTACGATTAAAGCAATTTAATCGTATAAGTAATCAAGATAACGTCCACTTAAAAATGGCGTCGTGTTAGCTACTTATTTATTATTCACTGTTTCAAGGTCAAGGCTCATGTCATTTTAAATAACCTCTACCTATATGGGTGGTTTATCGAAACTGACAATTTGTTAAAAGCTTTCGTGGCCAGTAGGTGAACTGATACTGTTCTGAATCGAGTCTAAAGGTCGTCGTGTGTTGAAGATGCTTCCTAACGTCTCGGTGGGACGAATGGCGACCATTCAGCATCGCAGATAGAAGCACCTCTGAAGAAGCTCGCCACTCGTGCTACCGAAACGCTAGGAAGCGCTGTTCAAGAACTTAGGTAACGTTTTTTATTGAAGGGTGCAAGAATTTTCTATTTTTAAATACTTGATCTGTTGTTTTGTGACAAAAAACTTTTGGATATATCATTCCCACCAGTTACGGATGCTGGTGGGCGAAAAGTCCCTGTGGACTACGCCGAAGGGTAGGGCGGAAGGTTCTCTTCAGTCTTCTTCCAGAAATGGTGGGAATGGGTAGCCACCAGCTTGTGGTTGGAGTGGGAAAGATGAAATGAAGACGGTACAGAGAAAGTGAAAGATTTTTTGTAGAATATTACTGGGTCAGTATCCCTGCATTTGCCTGAGTAAACCACAGAAAAACATGGATCAGGGCAGACAAACCCGGAATCGAACCGGTGTCCTCCCGAATATTAAGCAGTGGTCTAAACTTCTAAACGCCTATACTCGGTTTGAGAAGTGTACAAACCTTTATAAGTGATTCGTGCTTCATATTCCTTTACCATTCTATCGACTTGATCTTCGGATCTAATTGGAGTCAATCTAGGAGCACTTCTGGCTCTTATTCGTTTTTCTTCTTCATCTTTTCTCTTCCTGTACTGCCTCTGTCTTTCAGTGAANGTTTGAGAACATCTTTTGAGTAATCTTCTTCTCTGTATCTTTTCGTGTAGATATCTCTTATAGCGTTATGATCGCGCAATTCCTAAAAACCTCAAATAATTATAACATAAAGTCTTTCCAGTTTTATTAATTTTATCACCTACTTCCAAAATTTCTTTTGTGTCTGCACCATAACTCTTTCCGAAATGAAATTTGATATTTGGACAATGGCCAGTGTATCTACAAAACAAAGAAATAATTTTGCGTTTTGAACACCAATTAAAGGGTTGAACTACAATTAAATTTATTGTTCCTGTTATTAATATGGCGGAAACTGAAATTACAACATTAACATTGTAACTAAGTGACGCTGGATCTTTTTATTGGTTCCGAAAGAAAAACCTGCTAACGAAATTGCTTATAACATTTGTTTATTTATTAAGTATTCCTTCAAGGTTTTCTTTATTTTATCGGTTTATAATTTTATTAAGTTAAAACAACATTGATTTTCATAAAAGTTTCCATTAACATTGGAGACAAAAAATATTATTACTTATTTTCTGAAATAAGTAATGTGTGGATGCTCTAGGATTTTTAACTATAAAGACAGATCCATTTGATGTCTTCAAACAGTGCCTCAGTTATTTTTGAAGACTTACCTATCTTCACACAAGAGACCACTGTGCCCAAATCGACATGGACACTTGTGGTATGAAGATCTCGCATTATAATTCATTTAACACGACCTAATAAAATATTTATCTTATTGTATTTGTAACACAACAGTAAATTTCTCTTTAGTTGTTTGTGCACCAGCGTCCTTTTGAACTTAGACTGTAACTTTGTCGAATATGTTATTATAAAATTATTTCTTAATTGCGTGAAAATTCCAAAACAGGCAGGAAGAGATTCCGTACCAGGTACAGCGATGGTAAAACAGCACAGGGGTGTATTTTATGTGCACGGCATACTTGCGTCATTTCACACTTTTGCGGTTACAGGGTGTTTCAGAAATTTTTGTTATATAAGACGGAAACATTGTCATTGTAAAGTATAAATAGTAAAAACCGAAAGTTACTGCTGAAGTCCATTTGAATTTACAATTGCTACATTCCTATTAAGAATTTTCCATGAGATTATTAATTTATCTATTGTTATATGATTACCACACTGCAATCTTTATCCGAACGTGCTTACTATAACTGTTATTATTAATTTTAATTGTATTATAACCCTGGTTTGTGGTTATTCACATGGATGATTGTAAACAATATCCCAGATATAATGTTCTTGTTCAGAATAGCATGACGATAATCAAGGTCAAAAAAGTGTAAAAAACCATTATCGGAATTTAATTTGCCGTTGCCTATAGGCATACGTGTTAAATTACGTTTAGTATCTAAAACACAGTCTTCTCACTGTTATTTTTTTATTATTTTGTTTTTCATTAAATCGCGTATTAGCTAGGAATCTATGTTTCGATTCCGCCTAGGCGGCTCAGAATAGTTCTAATAGTAATGTAAATGTTATAACTTTACAGCATAACATATGGTAGATATCATAAAATCATTAAAATTATTAATACATATACACCAATAAAATTTTTCCTTTTTCAATTGTTTTGAGTTTCAATATTCACAAATTATTATTATTACTAATACGTAAAAGCAAATAAATATTTTGTGACATAAAATATAAGCTAAATAAGAGACGCAAAGGGGTACCTTGCTACCTATCATCACAATACCATGGTCTCAAGTTTCTGTTAGAATTAAGTATAGTAAGGATTCTTACAATGACTGCGTTTTTTAAGATTCCATGTCAGGTTGGGCAATTCTTATTGCATTTGATGTACAGTGTAGTGGATTTTATATTTCCTATAGGCTCAGTTCTTGTTAAATCGATACCTATGTGCAAATTCTCTGTAAATGGTTCTAAATCAGTGGTTTCACTTTACAATACCAAAAGAAACTAATAACGAAACCTCAAGAACCAAACATTTATTTCGCCGTGGAATTTCGTTATGGATTGTAGGTATATCAAACAACAGAATTTTACAAATAATGCTTTTAATTCTTGTCACAAAATATCGATGAGTTTCTCCCGACTCAAAAATTGTATTTATTTACTAAAAAGATAATTTAGAAGTACAAATATTTCAGTCATTTAATGCATTCCGAGAGTCCAGTTAGTTTTCGCCAAAGTAAGCATAATTTCAGCTGGTACAACAAAGAAATGTGTAATTTCTATGTTCTGCAAACATTTTGCCGTACTTGCATATTAAAATTTCATTCTAATTACGAGAGATTGCTTTTTTAATATTTCTCATGTCTAATTTTAAATCCGATTGCTGTCTGGTGCACTGTTTGAGAACTGCTGGTTATAATATTGCACTCCTTATGTCCTTGTTCTAGTGGCAGTGCTTTAGGGTTGCAACACTCGGTTTCCCTTTCATTTTTATCTCCCTATTCCTGGGCCCTACAATAGATTTTATCGATTTCGAGGCACACAACAGAAGTACAGAAAATAATATTGTGCGCCCATTCCTTATTAGTAGGCTTGACATTATAAGTAATATCCACGCACGAAAGACGCTTTAAACGACAATGCATTATATTCAAAAATAGATATGGAAAAAAATGCAATTTTATTACAGCAAAGAATAGGTAAGAAAAAAGATTAGTGTTCTATTTATAGAATAAAATTTTATGCACGTCATCGAAAGCATATTTATCTACAGTAAGGTATTTGATTCATTGTATGACTCTCGGATAAAACATTTATAAAAGCTAAAATATGCACAAGTTTGTGAATACTGATAAATAATTCAAAATTTTCCTTGATTAACTTATTTACAATTTAGGTATATTTGATTTTTCGTTTCTGCTAATCTAACAGCATAATTAGAATTTTGCCACCAACGTATGTTCTGAAGTTGGTTAGGCAACAATTTATTTGGTATTTTACATGGAAAAAGTGAAAAAGGAAAATTTACCTACATGTCAAAGTGATATTTACAATTTATACCACTATGTTGTTGTATTTTAGTTGATATTACAAATTAAATTGTAACAATTTAAAAACATTAAAAAAATAAATAAAAAATGTTAAAATTAAGATTATTACAAGTTACCTATTAAATTCTACTATTTCTACGTCAAATTCAGTCATTTACAATCGAAAATTGTAATTATTGTATTGTCATAAAAATTTAATTTTCTCTGTGTAGTCATAGTTTCCTAGCTAATAAAAAATTTCATCCCCCTAAGGTTTTAACTTTGAAGAACTTGACTAAAAGGTATTTCATGAATTTTTTCCTTTGATATGACAGTAACGTAACCAAGTTTATGATTACATCCTTTTTTAATATTATGATGTAAAGTTTGCTACAAGCCATTTGTCGTTTGTGAAAATTAATATCTGTGATCCAACGAATTACACCATCGCGTGCTTTCCAGAATGCGGAAGTTTGCTTAATTAGCGGTAGATTTTTTAGAGTCAAGGTATCTATCTGGTAATTGAAAACTAAAAATAGCCAAGGAATCGTATTCTAAATTCACATTTTACTTCTTTATCACTTAATGCTCCTTTTAATGTTAACACTGACAGTTTTATTAATACGATATTCATGTTGTATAAATGGAGAGATGGTTTAATTCAAAAACATTTTTGATAATGTTTTATCGAATTAAAATAGTGCAATTCCAATTATTGCATTAGACACCAAGCATTTTTGAATAGATTATTATATTTTACGTTAAATTTGAAATTAGCCTGTTACAGAAAGTTAAATTTATAATCCATTTTGACTCATTAGCGACATACTTATGATTCGATTTTATGAGAAAATGTAACAATTTAAATGATACCTTTACAACAACAATTATATCTACTACAAATACTATATATGCTATGCTGCAAATTTGAAAAATGCCCTTGTATTGAATACAAATACCTTAAAATATACGTAGTCTTCAGGAAAAAATGACAAATTTGGATGTCTTNAACTTTTTATGGGGGGAGACCGCCACGAACTTTTTATGGTACAGTGGTGGGAGAGACCTCCTCTTTCGATCCTACCCACTCCCATTTAGACATTTACCATGCAAAGATTAGCTCAGGATAGGAAAGAGTGGAGGTGCGTGTCCAACCAATCTTACGACAAACTTATGATGATGATTTTGTGATCGTTTAAACTACGTTTTCATTCATCCGGGCTTCCCCGGATTTTTGCTATTAATAAATTAATTGATGCACGCTTGCCATCACACAGACTAGAGTAGCGCTCGTTTAAAATAAATTAATAAATTGTTAAGTATTATTCCATTAAAGTCGTTCTGTTGTTTGGTAGGGTAAACAATAATGCCCGGGGTTTTTGAGCATTATGTTCTAGTTTGTTGATTATTCAAATTTTTAACCGTATGATAATTGACATAATCCACTCGTTTATCAAAATAAAATAAATGTATTACTTAACGTTTAATTAATCATTAACATTGTTTATGTGGCTCTTTATTTATAATATGTTACAAAAATATTCCGTTTCTAGAAAACAATTTGATAAAAGTTCATTACAAACAAGAACCGATTCGATATCTAACAACAAGACCCCCAACTGGGTGATGCAATTGTTTTTTAAATTTATACATTGCAAAATACAAAAAAAAATGTAAACACAATATAAAAGAAAACTTAGTGGTTATTACGTTATCAGCAAGTTTGAAAAATGCTAAAAACTTTAAATATATAATTGGCACCTATGTATGTATTACATCCAAAGCAACAAACTATTGCGGTATTTTTGATACAACGAGTTGAACATTGGTGGAAAAGTCTAGAGAATCTTTGAAGCCTCAATATGGAACCAGTAATGATTAGATATTTTTTTACAGTAGTACTTATTGTTGATGTACAAAATGCTGCATAATTGAAAGGAATATAATAACAAACAAATGGATAAATTAATAATGCTCAATAATCGTTTCGACCATTATCAATTTAATAGTTTATAATGATATGGCTCTTGGCCGAAACAGGAAATTGTAGGACGTCATTAATAAAATTTCCAGTTGGAACGTTTACGTTTACCTATCCTAATTAATATTATAATGAGTGTCAATCTGTTTGTTTGTTTGTTTGTTTGCTACAATTTCACGCTTTAACTACTGAACCGATCATCATGAAATTTTGCACACAGTTTGTCAGGGATACAGAAAAGGACGTAAGGTATCTTTTATCCAGAAAAAAAGATTGTTCCCGAGGGATAATAAAAATAGTTTTATGTGTATAAAATCAATGAAACTAATTGATACCATAACATATGTAACTAGTTAAATAGCTACTCTTATATTAAATCTAATTTTCGATAATCCTGAATTATGAAAAGCAGAATTTTACAAAATGGGTTTCAAAAACATATTAATTAATGATTAATGGTCACACAGTACTTTAAGAAATGCTTTGCCGTTTATAAATAAGCATCATTTACGTAAATACTTTTTAAAAACTCATTGCTCAATCGAAGCCATTTGCAACACAGAAACAAAACAAAATCGTTCGCAATAGTATATTGACACCATTACTTCTAATTTAAATTAACATAAACATGTTTGTTATCAATCGATATGTTCAATATTTTTAATAATGTGGTACAATGATAATTAGTTATAAATTTAAAACAGCCTTTTACTAACTAAAATTTACTAGAAAATATGGTATAAATTAGATAGATATTTGGAGATTATTTTTGTAAAACAAAATTCGTAAAATTAATAGTTTATTAATTCCTGTTCAGGATGCCAAGGAAGAACTTTGAAGGTGCGGCAACATTCCTGTATTACAAAGTACTACAGTGGTAAAAACGTACTCGTACTTCCTTTTTACTTAAATATCGGTGGTCTCAGATCTTAGATTGCTTGATTAGATTTATTGCTCCACTATGACGTAGTGTCGGCCATCATTCTTTTTCNAACTTTTTATGGGGGGAGACCGCCACGAACTTTTTATGGTACAGTGGTGGGAGAGACCTCCTCTTTCGATCCTACCCACTCCCATTTAGACATTTACCATGCAAAGATTAGCTCAGGATAGGAAAGAGTGGAGGTGCGTGTCCAACCAATCTTACGACAAACTTATGATGATGATTTTGTGATCGTTTAAACTACGTTTTCATTCATCCGGGCTTCCCCGGATTTTTGCTATTAATAAATTAATTGATGCACGCTTGCCATCACACAGACTAGAGTAGCGCTCGTTTAAAATAAATTAATAAATTGTTAAGTATTATTCCATTAAAGTCGTTCTGTTGTTTGGTAGGGTAAACAATAATGCCCGGGGTTTTTGAGCATTATGTTCTAGTTTGTTGATTATTCAAATTTTTAACCGTATGATAATTGACATAATCCACTCGTTTATCAAAATAAAATAAATGTATTACTTAACGTTTAATTAATCATTAACATTGTTTATGTGGCTCTTTATTTATAATATGTTACAAAAATATTCCGTTTCTAGAAAACAATTTGATAAAAGTTCATTACAAACAAGAACCGATTCGATATCTAACAACAAGACCCCCAACTGGGTGATGCAATTGTTTTTTAAATTTATACATTGCAAAATACAAAAAAAAATGTAAACACAATATAAAAGAAAACTTAGTGGTTATTACGTTATCAGCAAGTTTGAAAAATGCTAAAAACTTTAAATATATAATTGGCACCTATGTATGTATTACATCCAAAGCAACAAACTATTGCGGTATTTTTGATACAACGAGTTGAACATTGGTGGAAAAGTCTAGAGAATCTTTGAAGCCTCAATATGGAACCAGTAATGATTAGATATTTTTTTACAGTAGTACTTATTGTTGATGTACAAAATGCTGCATAATTGAAAGGAATATAATAACAAACAAATGGATAAATTAATAATGCTCAATAATCGTTTCGACCATTATCAATTTAATAGTTTATAATGATATGGCTCTTGGCCGAAACAGGAAATTGTAGGACGTCATTAATAAAATTTCCAGTTGGAACGTTTACGTTTACCTATCCTAATTAATATTATAATGAGTGTCAATCTGTTTGTTTGTTTGTTTGTTTGCTACAATTTCACGCTTTAACTACTGAACCGATCATCATGAAATTTTGCACACAGTTTGTCAGGGATACAGAAAAGGACGTAAGGTATCTTTTATCCAGAAAAAAAGATTGTTCCCGAGGGATAATAAAAATAGTTTTATGTGTATAAAATCAATGAAACTAATTGATACCATAACATATGTAACTAGTTAAATAGCTACTCTTATATTAAATCTAATTTTCGATAATCCTGAATTATGAAAAGCAGAATTTTACAAAATGGGTTTCAAAAACATATTAATTAATGATTAATGGTCACACAGTACTTTAAGAAATGCTTTGCCGTTTATAAATAAGCATCATTTACGTAAATACTTTTTAAAAACTCATTGCTCAATCGAAGCCATTTGCAACACAGAAACAAAACAAAATCGTTCGCAATAGTATATTGACACCATTACTTCTAATTTAAATTAACATAAACATGTTTGTTATCAATCGATATGTTCAATATTTTTAATAATGTGGTACAATGATAATTAGTTATAAATTTAAAACAGCCTTTTACTAACTAAAATTTACTAGAAAGTATGGTATAAATTAGATAGATATTTGGAGATTATTTTTGTAAAACAAAATTCGTAAAATTAATAGTTTATTAATTCCTGTTCAGGATGCCACGGAAGAACTTTGAAGGTGTGGCAACATTCCTGTATTACAAAGTACTACAGTGGTAAAAACGTACTCGTACTTCCTTTTTACTTAAATATCGGTGGTCTCAGATCTTAGATTGCTTGATTAGATTTATTGCTCCACTATGACGTAGTGTCGGCCATCATTCTTTTCTAANTAAGAAATATTAATGGCTTATTTAATTGTGTATAAGTATTCATACATTTTTTAAATTTAAAAATGACTTCTAAATATTGGTATTGTACAATTTTTAAAAGCTTTTGGACAATACGCACTAAAATCATCTTCAATTACAAATTCATATACAAAACAATGAACTAATGTTAAGTAAACTTAACGTTTTTGCGTATTCTGTTGTAACTATTTTGTTTTATTAAAAGTTATTTAATCATAAGTTATCAAGGGTTTCACATTATAAATGTTAACTAATATAAATGCGAACGTAAATTGTTTATTACAATTTCACACCTTAATTACTTAAATGACCGTCGTGAAATTTTGTACATACATTGTCAATGGTACTGAAAAGGACATAAGGTACCTTTCACCCAGAAAAAAAGTTTTATTCTCGAAGGATAGGAAAATTAGTTTTATGTGGTCGTCGATGATTTTTGGCAAGTATTTAAGACATGAATGCGAGAAAAGTCGCCGATAAAATCTAGTCTTTTATATTTCTTACCCTGGAATAAATTTTCTTTCGTTCCTACATAAAAATTCCTGTCGTTCCCTGTCACTCACGGGAATAAACATATCCTCGAAGATTGACACTTTTTCAAACAAACTCGCTGCTCAGGACTTTGTTCAAAATCGACCGCGCTGCTAGAGCTTTCAAAAGCGCGCAAACGTAACCACTATTTACTCACTACCACGACGACCATATGGAGTAGAACTTTTGCGTTGTTGTTGTTGATCATAAGAACATCAGATCTGCAGCGCGATGGTCACAGGAAGTTTAACAATGAAAGTTGTTCCATTGTCACTCACCAAGTAGCGTTACCGCTTCTGCGTACCGCGCCCACTTCCATTCTTATACAGAGTGTTTAAATATCGACCATAATAATTAAATGTCAATAAACTGAAAATATAGTATACAAAGAATCTTAAGAAAGCGAGCATTTTCTTTCGTTGCAGAGAGAGTTTTCATTATGTAGTGTATAAAAAGACAACAATACAGTTAATATGCATATCAGTTAGTCGTCCGTACACTAATGGCGAGTTAAAAACCGAACATAATGATATTTTTTTACTTAAAATATAGATTGGCAAGGTACCCGATTTGGATTCGGTACCTGACCGATCTAGCATTCTTTTAGGATTACCTGGCACTACCGTGTATGTACCTGCGGTGTCATTATCCGGTACCCGTCCGGATACTAAAAAGAGTGCTGGATCCGCCGGATACTAAATAATGACACTGGTACTCGGCAATGTTAGGTAGTTCTACCAGACAAAAAAATAAAAAGCCAACGCCATTATCCGGTACCCTTCCGAATCCTAAAAAGAGTGCTGGACCGCCGGATACCAAATAATGACACCGGTACACGTCAGTGTCAGGTAATTCTACCAGATAAAAAAGAAAAATCCAACGGCTTATATGGTATTCGTCCGCCTCCTAAAAAGAGTGTTGGATCTGCCGGATACTAGATAATGAGACTGGTACACGGCAATGTTAGGTAGTTCTATTAGAGAAAAAAATAAAAAGTCAACGCTATTATCTGGTACTCTTCCGGGTCCTAAAAAGAGTGCTGGACCGCCGGATACTAAATAATGTCACCGGTACACGTCAGTGTCAGGTAATTCTACCAGAGAAAAAAGAAAAATCCAACCCCATTATCTGGTACCCGTCCGGATCCTACAAAGAGTGTTAGATCCGCCGGTTACTAGATAATGACACCGGTACACGATAGTGCCAGCTAATTATTGATTACTAAACTAAACTAATTGTTATTTCGATGTAGTTCTTGTGTTTACTGTTTCTTGTGAGCACTATTATCCGATATCCTGCAAAATCACTATCCCTAGTAGTGATGAGCTAAGCAAGAGCAAGACTAAGACTGTCCAAGTCTTGACTAAATACTGCTTTTGATGTTGGTCTTGAACTTGCGTGTTAAGCTTTGGTCTTGCTCATTTAATTTAATATTTATGTTATTTTATTAATCTTCTATGCACCAAATTTTTCCATTTACCGACACAATCTTGGTCGTGGTATTGATTTTGCTAATATAGCCTAGGTAGTCTCGCTCTTGGCTTTGGTCTTGCGTGTTAATTCTTGGTCTTGCTCATTTAATTTAATATTTATGTTATTTTATTAATTCTTCTATGCACAAATTTTTCCATTTACCGACACAATAATTGTCTTAATGGTGAAATTTTCTGTAATTCATGCGAGCTTGTCATGACTTTTAAAGAAAATATGGTCGTTAGTTGTTAAAGTTATGAAAACTGGAGAACTTTATCTTTCTTCCAATGCATAAATTGACTCTTCCTCCAACACATTTTTTGACGTTTTAGGTAACAAAATAGTACTTCAAAAAAATATTAAAAATAAGTAGTTTGTCTCGATATTTCGACCATGTGTTATCCAGGTATAGGAACAAAGAACACTTACTCCGAGGACATTCTTGTAGATCCCTTTTTTCAAACAGTGGTAGTTTCTTTTTGAAAATTTCTATCTGAAAATTTCAGATAGATACTAAAAATGGTTTGTTCCAAGAAAACAAAATATTAAAGTTGCTTCCAATAGTTTAACTGATAATTTTTCATTTAGTCCTGCGTATTTGGTCTTGGTTTTAATCTTGGTCTTGTTCGTTCGGTCTTTCCTAAGACAAAGACCAAGATCAATTTTGCTCACCTGTAATTCCTGGTGTTATTATATTAAAAGTATATTAAATTTAATTTTCGTTTTTATTCTATTGACCCACAAAGTTTCTGTTGTGTTTGTTTGTCGACCTTTCACAAATGTTTTCCGTTCCAACAAGAAAATCACGGAAAGGGTAAATTAACCCTCGTTTATGAAAACCTTTTTCTCTTGTATAGGTATCACATATTGAATCAATTAAAACTGCAGTTATTCCTGCTGGAAATTTAAATGACTTCTCAACAAAACTAGAACCAAACACAGTTCTCATTTTATGATTTTTTGGTTACATGTTACGTATAGCTTTCCATTCACATTAGTATATTAGGTCGATTTTTACCAGAAGCTTTTAAACCAGCTGCGTATAGGTACCATCTTTTTATCAGTTGTTTATTTCCTAAGGTTTCAGGTTTTGTCTATACTATCACACTTCTCACTGACACGATACATCTGTAAAATTTGCTTGTTGGACTACAATTTCGGAAGAAATTACCTTCTCCCTGGAATTGTTCCTATCGGAAATTGCATGGGAGAGGCTGCCCCAGATACTAAATGCGTGAATTCTTTCCTTTTTTGTTATTTAAACGGAAGCATTTAACGTTGAACAGAAAAATGATACAGGGTATTAAATATAAAAATTTAGCTAATTATTTCTTTTTTTTATTGGTATGTAAGGGGACAAAAAGTAGGGAAAGAGCGAATATATAGATAGGAGACGAAAAATTACAAGAAGTGCCTGATTTTCGGTATCTAGACAGTCAGGACGGAAGGAATAGTAGGGATATAACGTAGAGGATAACGTAGGGTCGAGTTGTCTTCAATAAAAAGAAGTCACTTCTATATTCGCGAACGGTTAATTAAGAAATTGAAAAATGATTGCTATAAATGTGTCTGGAGCGCGGCGCTGTACGGGTTCGAAACATAGACTGTGAGCGCGGTGGAAAAGAAAAGGTTAGAAGCATTTGAAATACGGAGTTACAGGCGAATGATGAGGATACCGTGAATAGAGAAGGTTTAAAATAAAGAGATATTAGAAATAATAGGAGAACTGAGGACTCTATGGAAGTCAATAAGAAATCAGTTGATGGAATACCTTCTCAGGCATGGAAGACTAGTCAGAGACATGTTAGAGGCAGAAACAGGAGTTAAGAGGAGTAGAGGTGCACCTGGATTAAATTACTGTTCGCAAATAGTTAAGGATAAGAAAGAAAAGTGGAGGTGCGTGTCCAACCAGACTGACGACCTTATGATGATGATGAATTGTTAAATTAAAAAATGTTGCCCTAACATCCCAGACTATAGAACGAAGTTTCTTATGCTTTTTGGCAAATATTAATTATTATATGTGTTGGTTAAGGTACTTTAAAAAAAAAAGAAAACGGCTAAATATTTAACATATGTATATGTATTCCCTAATCACTATCTGCTCACAATATTTTGTAGTTGTAATTTTAAGACTGTCGATTGCTACTATAATAGGTTAGCTTCAGATGCTTTTTAAAATTACTCCTATTGAATGTAGCCACTAGATGACAGACTAATCGAATCTACCTCGACAGCTCTCTCTCTTTCCACAAGCAGTAAGTGGAAAAGAGATATCCACTAACACATTCGATTTTTGACAGGATGTTTTAGATTGTGTGAGTAACGTACATGTGATAAAAATGAAGAAAAACATAAGGAATTTACTGCTTTAAAATATACATTTGCTTCTTTATTAATTTGTTTTCAAATATTCGCTGACATATATATGTAATGCACCTTTTTGACAGAAAACCTTGAGAAAGATAAACGATTAAAGTGATTTATTGATTTGAAATTATTTTATTACCTATTATGTTTTTATTTAAGTATGTACCAATCAGTTATCATTAATAAAAGAAATAATAACAAGTTTTACTTTTGAGATAACTCCTCTTGTTATTCTCAATTATTCGTAATCCAAAAGAGAGAATTGTTTACATATGTGTTTGGTAATTCATACATAAATATATATATTTATATATTTTTTTACGTTTATCGAAGGCGGTTTTCGTTTAAAATTTTGATCATTACTGTTGATTGGCTAAATCTAAATTATAACGGTTTAGTTTATAAATTGGGAAACATCCCTCATTCTGTTTTTTTTTTCGAGTTGAAAGATGAATTTCACGCTATTTGCGTACCACTTTATATTGAATGTGATTACTAAAATGTGGCTTACAGAGAGACATTACACTTCGGTGTAAACGATTACACAGAATTTTTATGTTAAAACCGAAACAAATTAATGTAACGTTAAAAAGTTGTCCTGTTATTCCTTTCTTCGAGAGTTTACAAACAACTGATACATTCTCTTGACACAAATTATTGAACTTGACCACAGCATGATTGTACCTTTTTGTTAACGGAATATCTTTTATAAAACAAGTATAATACGTGTTATTCTTAACATAATAAATAACATTAATAATACATTTTCACTTCAGAGATAGCATCATTTTTATCGAGTTTACTATTGGAAGTGTAATCTGTTTTGTTTTGTACAGGAAGGTATCTATCTACACCGGGTGTTTTTGTAAGGGGAATTTTTGATGATCCATTAAAAAATGTAATTTCAGATTTGTTATGATAACTACGCAATTGATAGGTACTTAACACTTAAAAGTGTTTTTTTCTGTATTTTTCAGATTATTTTGTCTTGAAAAGAAAAGGCTAGAAGCGTTCGAAATGTGGTGTTACAGGCGAATAATGAGGATACCGTGGATAGAGAAGGTTAGAAATGAAGAGATATTGGAAAGAATAGGAGAACAGGGGACTCTGTGGAAGTCAATAAGAAATAGGCGAGATAG